GGGGGGGGGGGGGGGTGGAGTATGGGGGGGCGGAGCCTGACAAATGTACAGATTCCTGTGCTGACCTCATGAATGAGAATAGCTAGAGGGCGAGAATGGGATTCTGTAGTTTTCATAAAAGGACCAGTTACTATGCAACTAGTTTGCACAGAACCAGATAATCTCTAAGGCCTATTTCAGCAATAACTTTCTTTGGTTCAAATATTAACTAGTTAATTGAAACACTTTTCTTTGTAGTAACCCTATTCTGACTTGCCTTTTGTTATCCTCATTCAGAGCATGCTGAGCCAGTTGGTAATTTCCCCAAAAGGGAAGCTGCCTTCCAGAGGATCTAAGCATTCGAAGCTCATACCTGCTTCCCTCAAAGAAGAGATGACTTCACTGGCTCTGGTCAATATTAATCCCTTCACCCCAGAGTCCTACAGAAAACTATTCCTTCAATCTAGTGGCAAGAGGAAAATTCGAGGAGATCTGTAAGTGCTCTGTTGCATACAACTTTTGAGAACTGCTGTTACTAAAGTCAAGGGGTAAGGGGAGAGTGTTAGAGCAGGAGTAGGAACAAGCACTGTTTTTGAATGAACTTGATATGGTTACATAGTCTCTCTTCCCTAAACATAAATGTTAGTTTTTAACCTGCTTTGTCACAGAGATTCTAACATCTTTCCATTCTGATATGTACCATGGATGCCTTTTCTGTAAAAGAACAAGCCAGAGTAAGAGATAGATATCTGGCTTCCATTAGGAAGTTGAATGGCTACAGAATTGCATTCAAGGGGTCTCCTCTGATTAATGTGAGGCTAGCAGTTGGGAAAGGTGTAGTTCACTCTTCAGAGAGTATATTGCTGCTTTGAGTCTAGCTTGTGTAACCACCGATGAAAGCTATAGAACAAGGATTTGAACTTCTCTGCAGGTGATGGAAGATTGGTTGGAGAGAAAAGGATAGTGTTGCTTTCAGAGGTGCTAAAGAATGGGAAGCCAAACGCACTATTTCACAAAGGCCACTGAATGGTAGAAATCGTCCACAAAAGGATTGTGCATGTTACTCAGAGACACTACTATTTCTCAAGAATTTTTGTAGGATAGAAGTGCCTCTAAAGTAGAGCAGTCATTTATGTTTGTACATACTCAGCAAAATAAATGAACAACTAGCAATCTAAACTCTGCAGAGTATTTAATGTGTTATGCCGAATTGTTTCTTTGGAATCAATGAATATGAATCAACAAGCCTTGTGGCCAGAATAGGTTTTCTCAACATTATCTCCTGAATCTCACCTAAGTAATCAGAAATTCAGCACAAATACACTTGCTTACTTTAGTTGTCAAGGATTCTGTTGGTTTTAATTCTTCAGGAGTCTTTGTAAATTGTAAATGATTAGACTCTCACCAAAGCCAGCCAAAGATATATAAATACCTAATTTGAACTCCTTGCAATAAAGGTGGTGACACTAGTAACATCACTTAGTGTTTCTGAGACTGTTTTCTCCCTTTTTTATTGTGGGGTTGTTACTTTGTAAAGTAGTAGAATGTAGTATTTAAGTCACAAATATCCAGTATCTATTTCCATGAATGTAATATCCTCCATTTGTCATTTCTACTTTGTACTTCAAACACACACACACACACACACACACACACACACACACATCCATAGTTTGCTGAAATCTTGTTTAAGGATTCAGAATACAACTATTCAGGCTAAAAAGAGTGTCAATAACTTCAGCTTATTGAAAAGTAGCTGAAAATTGCTGAGTCAGGGTTAGGGCTGATTCTGCTCTACTTAGAGTCTACCTGTGAACCGAATACAAAGTCATGTTCTGGGAGAGGGGTGTTAACAGGAGAGTATAGAGTTGCAGTGAAGAACAAATGCTTTGGTTCAGACCTGGTTCCAAGTCTCAGGTCTGCCACTTGCTAATTGCATGACTTAGAGTTATTTAATATCTCTATGCCTTGTTTTCCTCATTTGGGGATAATAATATCCATTTAACAGTTTCACATATATTCTGCACTCTCTCTTGCTGCCAGTTCTTAGCACATAGTGTTCTACATGCTTAAAATCCACTCCTTTCCCTTGGCCAGTTCCTACTCATTCTTGAAAGCTTATATGGAAGAGGGGGGTGGGTCTCAAAAAAACCCAAATTTATTTATTAAAAAATGTGTATTCTTAAATGTTTAAACTTCATTCACCTTCAAAGTACTCTCCGTTTGATGCAATACATCTACTGAAAGGCTTTTCCCACAGCTCAAAACAGTTTTGAACTTGTCAATTTTAATGTCTTTTAGAGCTTCTGCTGGTTTTTGTTTTCTCTCTTCCACATCGGCAAACATTTCCCTTTGAGGAAATGTTTGTTTCTCTTCATCCAGAGAAACAAAAAATAGTTGCTTGGGCAAGATTGGATGAATAGGGAGGGTGGGGCATGGGAGTCATACTGCCATTAGTCAAAAACTGCTGAACATTCATTCAGCAGGGTGTGGGCAGGTGCGCTCGTAAATCACCCATCATGAAACAGGCAAACATGTTGAAAGAATGTCCAAAAAATTAAATGAAGTCAAACACTGCCTCTCACAACAACGCTAGTTGATACACTGATGCTGATAGGTTCCTAGAACACTTACCTAGCGGGCTAAGCCTGTACTACAAGGGAACTGCCCTCCAAAAGATAATTCTGTGTTTTTTGGTCTCCCCTTGTATATCTGTTCTTCTGGGAAAGTTTTTACTCTTGAGATAATTGAGTGCTATCCATGGTATCCTTGTTTCTTGTCCTGTCCCAAGTTCTTGTATTGAAATTTCTTGGTTATCCCTGCTTCTACATATAAATTGAAGAGAGAAAGGAATTGTCTTATTTACTCTTACAACCTCAGAACCTAGTATAGCACCAGGCTCAATGAGTGTTAATCATACACTGATATAACTTTTTTTTTTTTTTTTAAGTGAGGAAGCTGGTTCAGAGGAAGGCAAGGGAGAACAAGGGCTGCCTGCCAAGGTAAGCAATGATCCTTGGTCCAGCTATCACAACACAGACACTTTATCCTATTCTCTCTCTCTCTCTCCCTTTGTCCCCTCCTCTTCCTCCCCCTCTACTCCTCTTCCTACCCTCTTCTGCTCTTCCTCCCCTTCTATTTCTCTTCCTCCTCCTCTTCTACTTCTCTTCCTCCTCCTCTTCTACTCCTCTTCCTCCTCCCCTCTACTCCTCTTCCTCCTTCCTCTCCTGCCCTCTCCTCCCTCCCTCCCTCTCTTCCCTCTATCCCCTCCCTCCATCCCTCTCTCTGTCCCCTCCCTCTGTCTCACACACATACACACTGTAGCTCTGCAAATGTGCATTGCCCTTGAATTTATCTGGATTCCAGTGAGGGTCTATATTCTTAGCCAGTTGTTACTTTGCCAGGCAATGTCAAATATGTATATGAATATATTGCTGAATCATTACCTCAGAGTATTTTTAAATTAAGTATTTCTGTTTCTATCTTTGATCTGGAGAAACATTTTATACTCACAGAATAGAGAAGTGAAGGTAAAATTAACTTTTTTTGTCTTAAAATGGAAAAACAGAATAAAAAATGGTATAGAGCCAGAGATTTATATGCAAAACTTTAGCTTTTAAATGTGTCAATATGTGTCAATTTTTACAATGCTCAGTCTTCGACCTACTAGCCCTCATTTGATAATATAAGAAAATAATACTGTAAATATTATCTCCAGAGATGTTTATTTGTAATAGGAAAAAAAAAAAAAAAATGAGGGGTATGGGGGTACTAAATGCCAGATAATAGAAGAAAGTCTAAGCTAATTATAGTTTTAAATCAGTGGAATATTAAATTGCCATTGAGATGTTTATAAATAATGAAAACATGCCTACATTCACTGTTCAGTATACAAAAAGACTCAATTTTATATGCTGAATGATCACAACTATGGATTACACATTAATCATAGATAATTAAATGGAGCTACAACCACTGTTATTTCAATGTTTTTAGGTGGAAACTTAAAGTTTGTTTTTCTTCAAACTTCCAGAGTTTTCTGAAGCAAGTTCTATTTTATTGGCATAAATACAATGTGTTAATTTGTAAAACTGTTGACACCTGGCTACTGTAAACATTATAGGGAAGAAGGCCACTGGCCCAGACTTTCCTTCATATGCAAATGTTTGACTTATGCCTTCAATGTTTTACCCTCAGATTTTATTCCTCACTTATTCTATAATTATCTCCTGGTTTCAGATAGAAATGCCAACAATATTTATTGAACATTCAATCTATGCAAAGCACTGTATTTAGTTAGATCCTTTAAGGAAAAAAAAATATCTGTATGAAAGTCACTGCCTGAGAGGAGCAAAGATCTTTGAAATTTCAAAACAATCTATACAAAAATGTGAAGCTACAAGATGTGTCTGTGTATGTACATATGTGTAATGTGAATATACATACTCATACATGTACATATTTAAAATCTATATGGAAGGTTAGTAAAAATACTTCTTGTAGGAAGCAAGACTTGGGTAGAAGAGATAGCATATTGTTAAGATAATTCTAGGCAAAGAAAACAAGTAACTTTTAATGCTATGAAGGCAGAAGAACAGGCTTCCTGGATGAGAAGGGTAGGATGGGTAGTGGGGGAGTGATGTGGATGGAACTCTGACCTCTGTGATATCTGAGAGGGTGGTAGGGTAGTGGGTATGCAATTGTTAGAGGGCCTTGAAGCCTCTTATCAAAAGTTTGAATTTCTCATGAGAAAAAAAAGGCATCTCTGACTCTATGGTGTCTTTTGCAAAGATAATTCTTACTATTATAGGAGTTGGAGGGAGGGCTGGTAACTGTAGCAAATCCAGACATGGAGGAAACAGAGCTTAAGACTGGCTCAGGGTAATGCAAACTATAGATCTTGCTGATGAAAAGTGATTGGAATTAGATGTCAAAAATGAAGAGCTAGTAAGAGCCAAGATTTTTTCAAACTCCTAAGATAAGAAAAGAAAAACTCTGTAATCCCAGCACTTGGGGAGGCCGAGGTATGAATTGCCTGAGCCCGCGGGTTTGAGAACAGCCTGGGCAGCTTGGCAAGACCTTGTCTCTACAGTAAATAAAAATAAAAAATTAGCTGGGTGTGGTAGCACGTGCCTATAGTTCTGGCTACATGAAAGGCTGAGGTGGAAGGATCGCTGGAGTCCAGCAGGTTGACGCTGGGGTGGCTCTGAGTTTGCCATTGCACTCCAGCCGGGGTGACAGAGTGAGACTCCAACTCAATAAATAGATAAATAAATAATAAAAAGAAAGAAAAAAATTTCCTGATTGGGACACTGGGAAAAGATGACTTTGGGAGATAAATCAGCTTGGATTTAGATGTATATAAATTTATGGAGAGTTTGGTCAGAAGTTTACTGATAATATACTATGTACTTGGCATTAAACTAGATATATATTAAACATAATATATGAAATATTGTATATTTTCATGTAATATTTAAAAAAACGCTGAGGAGCAGTTGCCATGAGCCTCAGCTTATAGATGAGAAAACTGATAAAGCAATTCAATAACTTACCTGGGGTGATTTACTAGCCAGACAAGGATTTATGTTGCTATTTGGCCAGAAGGGGGAGTGGTCGCTAGACCTGGGCACATACAATCCAAACATATAAATTTGACAGTTTTCTACAATAAAGATCTTTGGGAAAACAAATTGAAAACAACTATGTTTGTTCAATTCGAGATGGAAAAGTTTACATCCAGATTTGAGACAAGTAGAGAAGAGAGGTCTTTAAAAAAAAAAATGCTCCACTTTGCTCCCAGTCATTCATTCAACTGAGGACAGTAGCACTGCATGTGAGATGTGTCCCCTGTAGAAATATATAGTGAAGAACAGTGTAACCAGATGGAGAAAAGAATATTGAAAAATATGTGAGGGAAATGCCAGTACAGAATTGTATGGAAGGTTACAAAGAACACAGAGAAGGTAGTTAGCAGTTGGGAAGATTCTTGATACCATGAGTATTGACACAGATAGAATTAATTGTGCTTGCCTCAAAAGTCTTTTTGAAAACTGAACAATTTAGAAATGTAATATGGTTCAATTTCAATGCTCACAATATATTAGAATTATTCTAATTTCTTTTTTATTAAAATATTATAGAGATGTGTTCTACGAGAAACAAATATGGCTTCCCGCTATGAAAAAGAATTCTTGGAAATAGAAAAAATTGGGGTTGGTGAATTTGGTATAGTCTACAAGTGTGTCAAGAGGCTGGATGGATGTGTTTATGCAATAAAACGTTCTACAAAACCTTTTGCAGAATTATCAAATGAGTAAGTACATTTGAAATGTACTAGAAGTATACATTTGGATTTCGAGAGCTGTGTCTTGTCAACATATTTTAAATAATAGCACTGACGTTACTGAAAACATATCATTTGCTTGTGTTTTTTTTAACAACACTCCCCCATTGTATGTTGTCTCACATTCATAACCCTCTTTAGTTTTCTAGCTCAGAGATAAGTTATTTCCTAAAATATAACACAATCATTTTAGATCATGTATTTTTTTGTGGGTCTTGACTTTTACTTTCTACTGCTGGTCTCATTGCCTCTTTTTCATGGAATTGTCTTCTGATGTCTGTTTAGTTCATCAGAAATATTACCAAGTAAGAAGTTACTGTTAGCTTACTGGTTTAGCTCTACTTTGTATTAATAATGCATTAAATAGTCAAGTTTCAGAAACTACATGCAAGGAAAAATTATTAACAGAAGTTTATATTTCATTCCCAGAACTGTTCAAAAACTCCTTGATCACAAAAAAACCCACATATTTTCATTATCTATCAATGATTCTTATGAACTGTTATAAAGCTTAACATGCAGAATCTAAAATTACAGGCTTTAGAATTTTTAATTTTTACACTGAAATTCAAGTACTCCATTTTGCTTTTCTTGTGTTGGGCCTTCCTATTCCATAATGAATATCTCCCTCCAAGGCCATCCCTGTGACTATATCATATTTGCTGAGTTCAGTGTTGACTGTGTAGCCTTCATAGAGAAGGTCAAGGGCCCATTACGATATTCACAATCAAATGTCTGGTGGCCAATTAAGATGTTTTGATTGTGAGTCAATGAAGTTAAGACCTGAAGCACGTCTGTCACTGAGGCATAAAAATACTTCTTTACATGTATCATGTTAAGTTGGAAAAAAACAAAAACAAAAACAATGGACTTTGGTACCAGGTTGCCCATGATTCTGGCCTGAAGTTTACCTTTGAGCCACTTACTTTCTAGAGACTTCATCCTTTCCATGGTATCTTACCAAGTAATTATAAAGATTAATCAAGAAACAACAACAAGCAGTGAGCATGCAATGTTCTGCTATTGTTTATAATGCCTCATATCTTGTCCTTTAAAACATTTTTACATGAATGTGTTTATGCAATAAAATGCTCTATGAAACCTTCTGCGGAAGTATCTTGATTTTTTTTTTTTTTCTTCCTCAATGCTTTTCTGTCTCTTAGGAATTTGGCTCTGCATGAAGTTTACGCTCATGCGGTGCTTGGGCACCACCCCCATGTGGTGCGTTACCATTCCTCATGGGCAGAAGATGACTACATGATCATTCAGAATGAATACTGCAATGGTAAGTATGTGGACTGATATCTACAGAGAGGGAGATGAACTTTCTAAGTCTTCAGAAATAAACTTACCTCCCCTCACAGTTTATGCCAAGTACAGCAGAGTCATACCTAAAAATCTGTACTGTAGTCTTGCTTGGAAGCAGAGAGCTGGAGAAAATAAGCTGAGTTGAAAAGAAATTTTCAGGCTCATATTACTACATATTTCTTTCAAAGCATTCACATTTAACATTCAGAGGAAACTTTTACCCTTGTGGTTTAAATGGTCAATCATCCTTTCACCATTTGCGAGATGTTCTGAAAGATAAAGCCATAGTCCCTACCACTTTCTGGGAGATGGGAAGTAAGCTATCTTCATCATGCATTGGTGGTTTGGGGTACAGTCAACTTTGGATTATTTTTCAAGTGGCTTCCTAAATTGGGGATTGTTCATACTACTGCTTCTTACCTTTGAGTTTTAGTGTTCTTACTAGATAAAGGGCATGGAGCCAGAAGCTGGGACTGAAACTCCATGTCTTCAAATAACTTTCTCCTGCGCCTTCAGAAACATCCATACATAGTAACCAGTGACACTTTCTTCTGGCTGCTCAAATCAGAAATAGTTGTCCTTTGGTCTAGCGAGCTTATAATCTATGGTTATGGAGTCAACCTAACAGCAGTTATATGTTGTTAGTGTTAGAAATAATTTTCATCAAAATGTTTGGTGGGAAAGTAGTAAAGTACTACAAATTGAAGCTTCCCTTTATTTTAGGAGTACCAATTCATATTCTACCCACAGCAATATTTGATAACCCCAACCTTGTCTCCCACCCACAACTACCCTGAGTTTCTTTAATAGTGCAGTCTATCTTTTAGTGATTTGGGTACCTACCAGATGGCCCTGAGTTTATATGTCCAGCCTGGCTTTTGAGGACAGTGATCAGTGATAAACTTCATCATTATATAAATAAGTGAACAAGTAGGTAAGTAAATAATATTGTGAAATGCTAGAAATATAGAAAATGGTATATACATCCTACAAAATAATAATCTGGCATTTTCTTATTGCTTCCTTATAGACAGATTTCCTTGCAGCCTTATCTGTAAATTCTGTGGGTATTTTTTCTCTTTAAGGTTTACCTTAAATTCCCCTTTCTAATAGTTCCCTGGGGGGGGGAAATGGGCCCTTTCTTTATGCTTATAGTTGAGAGGTTAAGTCTTTTCTTAATCACCTTGTTTTCCTAATTCCCTCTCATTGCAACCTGAGAATCCCTATTCTTGTTTCCCCTTTCTCTCTATAAGGAAGACTGGTCTTATTTTCATGACTTTAGCTACTAATAAACAAAAATAATACCAAATTACAAAATGAATCAATAAAGCAAAACTAATTTTAACCTGATTTGGGCAAAAAAGATTTCAAATTTTCAAAAAGGATAAAATGGAGCAGGTTATTCCTATTACAAATAATCTTTTCATTCATTTTAGCATTTGAGTAACTTCTACAGGCTTGACACTATAATAAGCATTAGGGTAAGAGATATCCTAGAATGAGACAAAGTAAGTCCTTTTCTCAAAGGAGCTTTACTTCACTTGTTACTACACAAGAGACAATTTGGTACAAAGCTAGATGGTACAACTATGGTAAAAAACAACAACAACAACAACAGTAAAAGATGAAAAGCAAGAAGTGGCACAGTATGGTGGGAAGGGGTCTGGGCTTTCAAGTCAGACAGACTTGGGTTCAAAGCCCCGCTGTGCAGCTTAGTTATATAATTACTGGGATGTCACTTAATCTCTCTGAGTGAAGGGATAATAACACCTCAGGGAGTAGTTTGACTACTAGCAACAATATATGTCCAATGCTAGTACAGTGCCAATACCAGACACTTATCAAAAACCCAATAATTGTCATTATCAGACTACTCTGAGAAAATTTCGTAAAGGAGGTAAGACTTGAATTAAACCTTGCAGAAGAAGGACCAGAGTTCTGGAAATTAGAAGGCATCCAGTTAGGGGAACAGCATCCAGGCTAAGATCATTATCAGGCAGTAAGGAGACTGACGTGACATAGGTGACCCCTGTAAGTAGGAAATGATACCATCAAGATAAAATGTGGGAAGACCAGAGAAGGCTGTGAAAGCCAGGTAGTGGATTACAGGACTACTACTTAGACTAGATGTGGATTACAGGAAAGTATTGTCTATTCACCATGGTAGTCCACTAACGTCATGGCATACTTGCCAATTAAAATGTAACTTGGTTTTTGCAAAACATAGCCCATTCCTGTTGACACTGTCAAACATGAATTGATTATGGAAAATAAGATATGCCTTCATACTTTGTCTTATTGATAATTATGATAACGAATGTGGAGATTTTGCACTGTGGGTCTAGATAAAGGATGAGTACAAAGTACTTATAAGGCAGCAGAGTGGTCAGTGCCTCATTCCTTCTATTTCTGTCTCCCTCCAACCCCTACTTCTCCCTCCATCTCACCTTTTCTTCCTCATGTCCTGTACCCACTCCATGCCCACCCTTTTCACCAGATTATCATAGCAGTCAGGCTGAAACACATACAGTTACAACTTTAACTTAGATTATAAATTAGATGACTTAGATAACAGGTTGTAAATTAGATTATTACTGTTAGAGACCAGCAGTCCTATAATTTCCCCTGCTGTCCCTCCTGAACCCTGAACCAATAAAATGTTCCTCCTTTTCCCTCACCCTTGCCAAACTCCCCTACAAATCACCTCTGGGTCTGCATCAGAAATCTGAAGGGTCACTGGTAGTAAGTTGATTCTGCAACCCTCAGGATTCTAATTGACTCAGGATTGGACTATTAATTTCTCTTTTAAGGCAGTATTTTCTTGTGATGTCTTCTGTCACTGAAGTTGTACAAAGCATGCGCCCCCTAGAATGGTGGTTCTCACACTTGTTTGGATGTTGTGACACCAGAAATCAGCGTCCTCTGTAGAACACCATGACTATTGGTTATATTTTTCTATCAGACGAGGAACAACTTTATCAGCAGAAAAATATGCTTGTGATATAGGTAGTAATATAACATGAAGACTGTGAGAATACAAATGTAAGAGCAAAATAGTCTCAATTATTGATCTGCTTTACATTTTGTTAGAAGGTCTCTGCTTATTAGTTTTGGTAGCTGTTAGATCTCACTAGCAGAGAAGAAAACAGATTTATTTATATATATTTTTTACTTTCTTTCTGCCAATTGGGTAAAGAGAGGGGACTCATCAGCCCATCTCACAAAGGCGGTTGGTTTGAGAAGAGCCCTCCAGGAGCTGGTTGTTTCGGCCTAGGACAAACCGCTTGCAATTCCAGTAGTTACCTACAGGAGGTACTTTGAGTTATGGGGTTAAGACTCCTCAGTGGCTGAATGAGATTAGCAGGGATGAAGTTCACGGTGCATTCAGTATTACTGTGTCTATAACACTTCCTTGTTACTATTTCATACAGAACAATTAATTATGCTCTTCTGTAAGAGGCAGACAATCAGCTCTAGCTGTAGCAAAATCAGGGTATTCTGACACCTTTGTGTAAATGAGTACTTTAGTAATTTCTACTGTTAACTATTACTTGGCTAACTTGAATCTTATTTACAGAGCTTCTGGGTATTTAAACGTGTGCTAGCACTGGTCTAGTTGCCCTTACTGAATACCTATAGCTCTTCAGAGGATTATAAATATCTCTGCTTATAATCTAAAAGAATGCATTAAAGATTTTCAAGTACTTCTTGGAAACAAGTAAGGAACAAGAGTGTCAATGGATGCAGCCTTCCTCCTCTTTGTCAACTACCTCATAACTTTACCTATAATCTTAATTTTGGAGTGCCTTAGTTTTTAACAAGTACCAAAACAGTCCCTTTTCTTACTTACTCTCTCTAAATAATAAGTCATCTAGAGCATATAAATTCTTAGAAGACTTCCAGAAAAATGGAAAATCTTTACTCCAGTTCTCTTATGTTTCTGAAAAGGGCTGAATTCTTCTCCCTTCTGAACTTAATTATTTTAGTAAGACAGATAACCCTTTAAATTCAGTTTTACGCTTTTAAATATGGATGTCCTCAAATATTCCATTACTATTTCAGATCCTATTGTTCTGATACATAGTTGAAGGGTGGAGCTATGGGTTTTGTAACTGCCAGTAAGGCCTTGCCAGTGAATGCTAATTAATGAAATAGTGATCAGAAACATTCTATCACTCTAGGTAGGAAGCCACAATCAGTTTGTCATATGAACATAGGCTTTATTTTTTATTGATAACAATAGAGTCTATAAGTGATATACAAATACTGTGGCTTAAATAGGTATATACAGAGCTTTTATATTTTCCTCGGGTCAGTGATTGATAAATGTTCTCATATTTGTGATATATTTTAAGTGAAATTAGATTTAGAATCAGTTACATTAAAAATATTAATGGACTGTAACTGCTAGCCTGACACTGACATGGAATTAATCAATAACACCAACAGAAGTTATATTAGTAGGTCTGATTAGCTTTCTGGTTAATAATTTGGTAAAACTGTAAAAATGTTAGTTGGCACATACTCAAAGCAGTAGAACCTTATATTGGATAGCTGAGATACTGGCATTTTCTTTTGTTCTTCAAAAGTCCTGTAATTCTTCTTTTCAACATGTCTGTAGTATAGATAGAGGGCAGATGTCACAGGTTTTGCACTGACACTGAAGTATTCTGGACTTGCTGGACTGAAGTCATTTATGAAGAATTTACTGAATACAGTACTATGCCATCTTACATAAGGGATTTGAGTGGTCCAGGATCTGGTATCTGCAGGGGTGGGGGAATGGGGTAGAGAGGGGCGGGGGTCCTGGAACCAAACCACTGAGGATATGGAAGGCTTATTGTATTTACTGTGTTTCATTTGTAGGACACATGTCTTTTCTCCCATTCTGTGGGGGCTGTTCTCTATTGTTCTTTCCCAGGTGGGAGCTTACAAGCTGCTATATCTGAAAATGCTAACTTTGGTAATCATTTTCAAGAGCCAAAACTCAAGGACATCCTTCTACAAGTTTCCCTTGGACTTAAGTACATCCACAACTCTGGCATGGTGCACTTGGACATAAAACCAAGTCAGTATGGTTCCCTTCTGCTCTTCCTGACATATTTTGTTTTGTTCCCATCATCATAAAAACCTGGGCCTGTGTGTCTATTAAGTATCAGAGATAGTGTTAGCTGGCAGAATCTCTTCCTTCCACTCATTTCCCTTGGGGGGGAAACAAAAACAGTTAAATGACTTTAAACATTCCCCCCTTGGGCCCAGGGAATAGAGAGAGAAAAGACTCTTGCCCATATAGTGATGCCAAAAAATGAAATTAGATATTTAATTTACCACATAGGTAAGTGACAGCAGGTTGGCTAAATCAGCACTGATTAAACTGAATGGAAATGACTGGCTTTATCCCTCACTAATATGAAAACCAAGGACAAATTTTGACTATTTTGTGTTATTTATTTATTTATTTTGAGATAATAATATCCTGCCACCAACTTCTCCAGAGGGTAGGGAATGAATGTATGAGGTCAGTTCAACTTAAGTAGGTATTAGCCATAACTGGCTAATTTTAAGAAGTGACGTGAGAGATTTCGTAGGAAAAAAAAAGTTCGTTATCTTGCTATGTCCACACAGAAGAAGAAATGAGGGAAACTGAAATGTCAAATATAGAAAAGATTCTTTGAGGTGAAAAGCTGAGGAATCATTACTTATGTCTATTCTGCATTTTTTCAGGTAACATCTTCATTTGTCACAAGATGCAAAGTGACTTCTCTGAAGTCATAGAAGAAGCTGAAAATGAAGCTGATTGGTTTCTCTCTGCCAGTGTGATATATAAAATTGGTGAGTCTGCCTTATCCCCTCCAGTACACTATTATCCTATAAAATTTATATTGATGACTTCATTTATTCCAGTATAAGAAAGGCATACTTTTAAAGAACTCTATTTTTTTTCTTTTTCTTTGTTCTTCCTTTCCTTTTCTCTGTCTTTCTCTAGGTGACCTAGGTCATGTGACATCAATAAACATACCCAAAGTGGAAGAAGGAGATATTCGCTTCCTGGCTAATGAGATTTTGCAAGAGGTATAGATTAGGAAAATAAAGCATATTTTATCATCTATGGAACCCTTTGACTCAAATGAAGGCTCGCAGTGCAAAAAATGAAAAGTATATATTTATAACTTAAACTTATAGTATCTCTTTTGCCATTCAGAATGGAGACTAAAGATAGGTAAGAAGCTTTTTCAAAAAAAATGTGAGGAAAACTGGCTCAATTCAAGGATGAATCAGTATTTACACTGTTCTTTCTAAAGGTCCTTTACTGTTTCAATATGTCTTAGAATTCCTAATCTCATGGATTGCCTAAGAAGCCTTTCCCTCAAATCCATATTGGTCAAACCTATCTTTATCATGCTGTATCATCCTTCTGATAGCATTACCAGCTTTGGTCATTGAAATGAATTTTAGTCATTGCCCATCTTCCACAGTGTCTGCTGCATCAGGCCTAGGAATGATACAACTTCCTCCTGGGTGACAATCAGGAAAAAATGAGTCTTTTCTTCCAGTGATTAGCCAATTTATAGTACCAAGCCTTTCTGAGCCTGACAGAGCAAAATGGCACTAAGATTCTGTCCTGGACTCCCCAGGGCACATAGTGTTAATGGAGTAGATTTGCATTTTCTTAATCTCTACAGAAATAAACTACTAACTATAGTGAATGTAACTTTGCCGACAGTGCCTGTTTAGAGCTTATATGCATGCACTCAAATGAATCTCTCCTACTAGTTATGTTTTAGTCTAGATAGACTCACACTGCTTGGCATACTAACTGGCCTTCTTGTTTCCTTTTTAAAGGATTATCGGCAGCTTCCTAAAGCAGACATATTTGCCTTGGGATTAACAATTGCAGTGGCTGCGGGAGCAGAGTCATTACCTGCCAATGGCGCTGCATGGCACCATATCCGTGAGGGTAACTTTCCGGACCTCCCTCAGGAGCTCTCAGAAGACTTTTACAGTCTACTCAAGGTGACAACTCTTATGAGATGAAGAAAAGATGAAATGTCTATTTTTAAAAATGTGGTGTCAAGTAGTTGAGAAAAAGAAAACGGAGATGTTGGTAGTTTCATTAACAGAATGAAAAAGGAACCATGACTAGGAAGTTCAGAAAAGACAGAGGACAGATTAAGAAATTCTCAAAGAAACTTACAGAATGTCATAAAACCCTGTGTATTACAGCTTGAAAATTCTGTTACAAACCTTTTTTTTTATTTGCCCTTCTAACAACCCTGTAAGATGGACAGATAGTATTTTATTCTGCAGCTGAGAATACAAAGGCTTAGAGCAGCTCTCAACTCCTGTATTCACAGTTAGTAACTGGTCAACTTCAAAATCAAACCTGCTCTTTTTGTTCCTACTTCAGGGCTTTAACTGTTGTTAGTGGTAATAGTGATGATATTACTAAATGAATGAGTTTCTACTGTACCTAAGAAGGTACAAAGTACTTTATTATAAATTGACAATAACATCAATTATTTGAACTATTAGAAAAAAAGACATAATGTCATTTAAAAATCTATGTTCTTCTTGTACTTAATGATATCTGGGTATGTATAGGGACAAGAAAGGATATTATATAGAAACAAAGGTATACAAAAAGCTGTAAGATTAGAATCAGACCAAGAAAATAAAATGCATATATGACTTCATAGCTTAGGGAATACGATTGGTTAGGATCCCTAAAATCGCCTTAGAAATATCTACTTTCTTCGATATTAGATTTGAGTTTCTCAGCTTATCTGCAAACTTCAAATGTATAATTATGAACCTGTCCTTTCTAACTTCTTTTGCAAATCCTTCCACACAGTAGTCTTTTGTTCAAAGTCTAATTACCTATTTCTATGTGTAAACTGAGTACTTAAATGCTGGCTCTGTACTAGGCAACACATATATGTTAATTCATTTCATTTTAACAGTAATCCCAGAAGATGAATATCATTACTGCAAATTTCAGGAAAGAGGAGCTGAACTTCAGCAAAGTTTATAAAGTAAATGATGGAGCTGGCTCTGAACTTGGTCCCCAAATGGGGGGTTTAATGTTTTATTCTATAACAATGTTAATTGCTGTAGATAATTAGCTATTTCCTATTACATTCAAATCATCTTAAGTTACATACATCCTCTACATTGAGATAAATGCTTTAGGAATACTATCATGGTGGATTATTATTATTATTATTATTATTTTGAGTTAAAGTCTCACTCTGTAACTTAGGCTGGAGTGCAGTGGCATGCTCACAGCTACCCCAGCATCGACCTGCTGGGCTCCAGTGGTCCTTCCGCCTCAGCCTTCCAAGTAGCCGGAACTACAGGCGTGTGCTACCATACCTGGCTAATTTTTTATTTATTGTAGAGATGAGGTCTCTCCAAGTTGCCCAGGCTGGTGTTGAACCCATGGGCTCAGGCAATCCCCTTGCTTCGGCCTCCCAAAGTGCTGGGATTACAGGCTGAACCAATCCTGGTTATTGTTATTGAATGAAAAAGCCGCATGATGAAGCAGAAAAAGAGCTGACCTAAGGTTTGAGTAAACTGGGTTTTGGTCTTGGCCCTTCCAATTACTTGGAAAAGTCACTTTTAATCTAGGGTTTCAGTTTTTTCCACTTTAAAGTTAAGGCATTAGACTCATTAACTAGACAGCCAGCTTTAAAATATGATACTGAAAGACAAAGGTGTGGACAATTGCTACCAGACAGGGACAATCCTCTTGTCCAAGGCAGAGCTAAGTTTTCACTTATCTCTTCCCTCTGCACAAAGGAGAAACAGGGTTTTGCTAATTTACCAGTAGAAGCTGGGTTGGAGTTGGCTTGAGTGGGAAGATTTTTCCCAATAGTGAAGCTTCTGCTTTCTTTCTTTTGATCCTGCACGATCAGAACATGATCTACCCTGATCCAGGAGAGAGACCTTCTGCAGCAGCTCTGGCCAGAAATCGAGTTCTTCGCCCCTCCCTCATGAAAGCAGAAGAGCTCCAGCAGCAGCTGAATCTGGAAAAGTTTAAGACTGCCATACTGGAGAGGTACGTTGTGGATGATGAGGTCAAGAAAGAATCTATTGCACACTATTCACAGTGGCATCCCTGGTCTGGTGTGTCCTCTCTATGGATTCAAGTTTATATATATTCATTATGATAATACATAGGTCCCTGGCAGGAAGACTGGCAGCATAAAGCCCTTTGTAGCATGGGACTGTGAAGCTCTGTGACTAGGCTGCTTGGGAGAGAAAATTCCAGTTAACCCAAAGGAAGCAAGAGTTAGGAATACAAAGAAATACAACTGGTAAAGAAAACTTAGGACTCTGTGTGACAGCAGGTATCTAAGTAATTGGTGGGGATCACCTAATGGAAGATAACCACAGGTAAGGTGGGAAGAGACTTATTTTAGAAACTCATTAAGTTTCAGGAGTGTGCAGGCAGACATACTGTCCTGGAACATATTTTGAGGAAGAAGTATTTTTCTGAGCAAGGAAAGCAATCTGATCTCTTACTCATATAGGCTTGTATTTATACCTTATTAATGCATTCCTTTGTTAAATAAAGGGAATTAATTAATTAGATGGGGCGGGGTTGGAGAAGAGGTCAGGCAGTGAGGTTTGAGCAGTTTAGAAGACATTTTTAAGTGATTGGTACATAAACTGTGCACTGTTGAAAATACAAAAGAAATAAAAAATGAGCCTTGCCTAAAATAAGCTTAGAAGTCCAACTTCTCTTGGACACACAAGTGAAAGATTTTGGAAAGATTAGCTTGAACGTTCCCCAAACTGACTTCTTGGTAATAAGTAACAGAGACTCTCAGCCTTTCTTTAGTCAGATACTTCTTCCTACTAAGTCACTTAATAGTTTCTGTTCAGGTCTTTTGTTTGTTTTTGCTGTTGTTTTCTGTTTTGTTTTGGAGTTAAGAGTCTCACTGTCACTCAGGATGGAATGCAGTGGAAAAATTATGGCTCACCGCAGCCTTGACCTTGACTTCCTGGGCTCAGGTGATCATTCTGCCGCTGCCTCCCAAATAGCTGGGCCTACTGGTGCACACAACTACACTCAGCTAATTTTTAAATTGTTTTTGTAGAGATGAGGTCTTGCTATGTTGCCTAAGCTCATATTGAATTCCTGGGCTCAAGCAATCTTCCTGCCTCAGCCTCCCAAAGCACTGGGATTACAGGCGTGAGCCACCGTGGCCAGCCTCTGTTTTAGTTTTGAATTTCATTGTCTCTGCTAATAAATAAAATACAAAGTAAAAACACATATATATGTACAATTAAGAATATAAGTACTCTTAAGGTATGCTGTGTACACTTTGTGAAGCCAGCTATGGGGGCACAGGTGACTTTACCAGCCATATTGAAATTGTCTAGACCAGAGGTTGGCAAACTTGTTCTGTGAAGGGCTACACAGTAAATATTTCATGCTTTGTAGGCCATTTGCTCTCTGCTGTAATGACTTAACTCTGCTTTTGTAGTATGAAAATGGCCATAGACAATATATAAACGAGTGTGTTTCAGTAAGACTTTATTTACAAATACAGGTAACAGGCCAGATTTGACTCCGAGGCTGGGGTTTGTTGACCCCTGTAGCTATCATAAATAGTCTGAAAAGTTGCTCATCTAATTTTTAAAATTCAAAGATCAATTTGTGTTCCAGTATGTAGGTGCTGGGAAAATAAAACTACCATGTGCTATGGCATGTGGGTGCTAACCATTTTTTATGACAACCTAGGAACCGAATTTTCTATTCTGTATATAGCTCAGTTTCGTTTCTATAAATGCTGGAATAATTTATTAATAAATACAAATATTAGCTTCTTAGTTTTGATCACAAATATTATCTCTAATTGGGGATCAAGTAACCTTTGTTTCCCTCACCCCTTTCATTGCAGGGAACTGAGAGAAGCCCAGCAGGCTCAGTCACCCCTGGGAGACATCCATCATGGTGACTCTGGGATCTCTGGGGCCCACACAGGATCAATAAGCATGAAACGCCTGGTGGGAGGAAAGACTGTAAAGTCTTCAAGCTTTACCTGTGAGTAATGTTCCCCTTAACAACTCATTTCATACCAGCTAACCTTTTACTGGAGGGCCTCCAGAAATAGATACTGACAGTTCTAAACTTCTTCTTAAAAAATGAAAAAAATTAGCCAACTCGAATGCCCAAAGATTTCAAAGGCACTTCTAATTTAGCATTTAAAACCAAGATCCTACAGCTAGTAGGGCTTTGTATTAACGATGGTCTCAGGTACAATGATTAGAAGCTATTTCTCTTCTCTACTGTTATACTTTTAATGTCATCCATCAACAGCTTATTTACTTATCACTTTTTTTTCTGAACAGCGGGAGAGCATGAGCCTCTGAATTGAAAGAAGAAAAGGAAACAGCCCTTGGTTGGGCCTGTGGATTAAGAGGTTGCTGTTGCCAATGCCCTACCAAGTATCTCGGGGACTTTCATTGAACTTAGAAAGGAATATACTTTGGTTTTGAGTTGAAGTAACAGCTTACAAGAAAATATGCCGGGATTTCAACAGTGCTATGATGCTACTCCTAAAGGAGAATTCCCAGTACCTTTGAGGAAGTGGTTTTCCTAATGTATGCCCTTTATCTAATATTGTACTTATTAAATAAATGGTTTCAACCTTATGTGAGGTGGGTAAAAATAAGACTGTATACAACAGCTCTGAGTTGTTACCTTGTGCACCAAAAACACTGGTGGTAGAGGGTACAAGGACAACTTGATCTGCTCTTCTTTCCCATCTGTTTGCCCTGACCCACTTAATGGCAGTTCTGATGGGTTTTGATATTCTGGGTCTCATCTATTTCTTTGGATTTTTATCAGAATTTGACTTTGTTTCCTGGTATTTTATCCTATTTTATTCAAATTCTTTTCCGTATACACTTGTAAAGAATAGACTACTGTATTTTAAATAAAGGTTTTTATCTTGTTCAAAGCCAAATTATGGGCAAAGAACTCTTCTTTGAAATGAACAACTAAAAAAGAATGAAAAATTTATGTTGGCAAATGTTTTATGAATCAATGGGTATGGTTATTCAGTAGGTTAATAGTAATATGTTCTGGTGGCAAGGCCCAACTTCACAGACCCAAAAGTTAATAATGGTTAGACTCTGCTATAAAATAACGTTGGTCATAAAGGTATTTGATAAATTCTATTTGTGTCATCTTAATGAATGTTACCTGTTAATGATTAATGGCTTTTCTGTTGCCTGATTTTCTTTTTTCTCCTTCATTTTTTAAAAAAAATTGATTAACCCTCATAAGTTAAAGCATTTTCTTCCATCATCAAATAGATACCTCTTGCTAACACAGCAGATGCTTTTGCTCTCATGGTCCTCAGGACCTGAACTGACCTCTCTCCCCTACTCCTAACACATACTTTCAAAATTCTGTACTCAAATAGTCCTTCCTTTCTCTGTTCTTCCATTTCATTTTCTTTCACATTTAGTCTATCTTGTATTATAAATGAAGGAGTCTCACCTCAGTCATTGTTCTGCTTTGGAATAGCAATTCTTTCCATATAATGAAGTGCAGTATAGTTCTTCCTATAGTCCACTGCTGTTTTTATTTACTAGTCTTTATCCTAGATTTTAAAATGAGGTTAGTGTATCTCTTGCTACCTCCCCTAACACACACACCCCAGGTCATATCCGTTGTAGTACAGTGCAAGGTCAACCACAATTTGTGATTTAGAAATGGGTACATTATTGTCTTCTTAGGCTTTGACAACACTGCTACGAGGGTCTATGACCCCTTCTCTACCATGTTCCTCAGAGCCTAGCTTCATATCTGAATGAACCTCTCTCTCTTTCTCTCTCTCTCTCTTTCTGTGTGTGTCTTTGTCTGCTTCTTTCTCTCTCTCTCTCCTTGCCTTATAAGTTTAATTTTGCACAAAGATTATTATATAGCTCAGAAGAAGCTATCAGAGTTAACATCATTGGGTGGGCTGGCAAAACTACAAAAGCTAAATTTAAATACTTTAAAAAATATGTTACTTCTCTGTAGATAGATCCTAAATACAAACTCTGATACTAGCATTAAGGTGGCCAGATACCTTGAGACTTAGAGAAATACTGTGGTGCTCTACTGGTTGAGCTCTAACACATGTACCAATTTACAGAGGTATTTTATCTAAAGCTGCAGAAAGATGAACACAGAAAGACAAATGTTAACCTTTCAGCCTGAACAATTAAGCCTTTTTATTTCTAGATGAATCATAATTTCAATCTTGAATTACATGAAGATTGTCAGGTCAATTTTTAAAAAATTAAAATAACAGCCACAATAACTAATAACTATGAAGTATTGCTTTTGAACCACTTTAAAATACATGCTAGTAATCAATTTAGGTAATAAGTGCTGTAATTTTCCATCAGTTCTTATGAGACTTTAGAAAAACTGATTTAAAAGTAAAGTAAAAGCTTGATTAAAATTCCCCAAAACCATTTTTTAAACAACAAAACTGTCTAAAGCTTTCTATTTATGATAAAGTATTCCAGCCCTAGTCTCTACCACTCAATGCCTATAGCTGGCATAATTTAATTTAGTGGAAAATAAAGATGAGGCCAAAGGTAACTTTGCAGTCTTAGGCATATATGATGTACACTTCTTCAGTCAACTTGCAAATGACAGAAGCTCTGAGATAGTCCACTATTGCCAAAGATTAATGCTGATTAAAGCCACCTGTCACCACTTCTCAGCATCAGGAAGGTCCTTTGCTCCCCTACGGATGAACTAGAGAAAGTCTATGATTATGTGGTACAGTGTGTTTGTGTGCACCATTGAGAGGTTTCAGGGTTTCATCAAAATGCAAATTTTAGATCTCTGAAGGGTTATCTCTGATAGAAAAATACATTTAAGCCCGTATTTCAAGTCCTTGAAGCTTAAAAAAAAGATATTTTAATTTTAGGTCTTTTCGAGCATCCTTCTGGATTCCTCCTATTTCTGTGCTCTAGCTTGTCCTTGTTTTAAAGCTGTGAGTTGGATACTCACAAGTTCTCTGTCCTCTAAGTGCTAACAATCAATGGGAGAGACGAGTCACCTTCATTTATAATACAAGATGGACTGAGTGGGAAAGAAAATGAAATGGAAGACCAGAGAAAGGAAGGACTATTTGAGTACAGAATTTTGAAAGTGTGTATGTTTGGGGGGTGGGGGTAGAGGGGGTCTCAGGTCCTGAGGACAGTGAGAGCAAAAGCAGCATTGAAGTAAGCATCTGTAGTGGCAGGAAAAGGAATTCATTTGATGACAGAAGAAAATGGTTTAATATAGTTCCTCCATGACATTATACATTTTAAAATGTACATTTTAACATGCTTTGTCACAGGAGAAAAAAAATTAAAGTAGCACTTACAACTTTTTCCAGCCAACAGTCTAAGAATGTGTACTGGAAATTTCTGTCTGAGAGTAAATTCAGATTAACACTCTCCACAAAGGTGTTATGTATAAAGTTGTAAAAGTTTACCAAGGTTGTCTGTTTTCAGTTTGCATGGTGCTTTCTGTACTTTTCTTTAAATAATTTCTCCCACGCTCCTTATCCCAAAGTATATGAATAGAAAGGTAGATATTATGGCATAATGAACTTTTAGGGCCAAGTGATTGAATACGGGTGAACAGATTCGGTTGATTAGAGAGATTTAAAAATGATTACAAAGTTCACCTGGGAGAATCTTCGTACCATAAAAACAAACAAGGAGTTCAGAAGGGGCACATTGGTGTTGGGCAAAAGGGTAAATTTAGTTTTTTTCATTTTTAAGCAGAAGTTGGAGTTTTAAGGAGGAAATCACTGGCAGGCATTGACATTAGTGATGACAGGGTGGGGTGTGAAATTAGTAATGCCTGTGGAAGGCAGCATAACATGGTACGCTTCAGAAACTCAACATTGTGAAGGTGCAAGTAAAACACTGAGCCAGACCAGCAGTGGGTTAAGGTGTGTCTTGGAAATGATGTTAATAGTTAAGATTTTATTCCTAAACAGCAAGAATGGGCAGTTGAAGTGTTTTGCATGTTAGAACAATCTGGAGGGCACCTTCCTTCCCCACAAGTTGGACAGTGCCAGGACTGGGAGATGGAGAGGAAGGAAAGGCCCCCACTGGCCTGGATTCTGCAATTTGTGGGGCTCCATCCATCCCCTTTCCCACCAGAACCAGGATTAGGATGAATGAGACAAAATTTAAGTGGCACCAAGAAACTCAGCAATCGAGATTAATGATACTTTAATAGAATATTTTTAAAATATTAAAACTAATGAAAAAGCTATGTATGTATGATAAAACACCACATTTTAAAGACAAGATCAGTAAGCTGAAGTTAATTAAAATTATTTAAGATTGTCACTTGGTCAAGAAAAATTGTGAGATCTGGAAATGCTCTCAATTGAAACAAGATAAACAAAGAAGTAAAGTTTGAAAAATATTACTAATCAATTTACTTTCATTAAAACCAGGAAAGTAAAATGATATTAAATTCCATTTTTGGTATGAATAAAGTATTTAACCTGAACACAAAATTGTGAGTTTTAACACACCTACTTAAACATTTTTCAGTAATCAACTACTTTAATGTTCTGTAAAAAAAATTGTTTTAAATACATAGAAATATGCATATAGGGGTATATATTTTTCCTTGTGCCTCAAGTTCCATATGGCTTAGACCCTGTAAATTAAAAGTTTAATATTGTCATGTACTGCATACTGACCTTTTGGTTAAATATGGACTGCATATATGATGGTGGTCCCATAATGGAGCTGAAAAACAATTATTTAGTGACATCATAGCTGCTAAAACATCATAGACCAACATATTACTTACAAGTTACTTGATAATGATAATAAATGACTGTTACTGGTTTAAGTATTTACTATACCATACTTTTTACTGTTAGAGTGTACAACTATTTTTTAAAAAGTTAACTGTAAAAGAACCTTAGGTAGGTGCTTCAGGAGGTGTTCCAGAAGGTATTGTTAACACAGGAGATGACAGCTCCATGTGTGTTGCTGTACCTAAAGACCTGTCAGTGGGGCAAGATGTGGGGGTTGAAGACAGTGAGATGGATCATCCTGACCTAGGCTGAAATATGTGTTTGTGTCTTCGTTTTTAACAGCAAAAAAACTGAAAATAGAAAAAAGCTTATAGAATAAGAATATAAAGAAAGAAGATACTTTTGTACAGCTGTACAACATGTGTTTTAAGCTAGATGTTATTGCAAGAGTCAAAAAGTTAAAAAAAAATTAAAAGTTATAAAGCAAAAAAGTTAAGGTTAATTTATTATTTTAGAAAAAAGCAAATTTAGCGTGGCTTAAGTGCATTGTGTGTAAAAAGTCTACAGTAGTGCCCAGGAATGAATGTCTTAGGGCCTTCACATTCACTCACCACTCACTCACTGACTTACCCAGTGTAACTTTCCGTCCTGCAAGCTCCATTCATGGTAAGTGTCCTATATGGGGTACCGTTTTATAACTTTTACACCATATTTTTCTATGGTTAGAAACACAAACACATACCACTGTACTACAATTGCTCGCAGTATTCAGTATAGCAACATGCTGAACAAGTCTGTAGCCTAGGAACAACAGGCGACACCATACAGCCTAGCTGTGCTAGCAGCCACGTAGGCTGTGGAAGTCGCTCTACGATGTTCGTTCAGTGATGAAACTCCCTAACGACGCATTTTTCAGAAAGTTATCTGGTTTGTTAAGGGTCACACGACTGTTAGTTTGATTTCTGCATTAATTTTGACTTTTTAAAACATTGCATCAAAATATAATTTATCTTGATCGCCCGTGTTTTCGCACCCTCTTACGTTTTGCGGTCTCAGCCCTTTTCCTACTCCCTTTCTTTTTCTGCTTTTCTTACTGCCTTAGGAGACTGGGCCTTTTGTGTTGGTTTTCTCCAGGCAGAGCGAGTTATTCTCTGCTTCGCCTACCTCGCCCCCTCCTGGGCTGAGTGGGGAAGCTCACCAAATACATTAATTTATTTAGAAACTACATATCGTTGGAACTCACCAGGCGGCGGCGTTGATTCGTCCCCTCTCGCCTGAAAAGAAGCTCCCGGAACTCGCGAAGTCTGGGGGTGTGTTTCCCGCGGTTCTGGTTGGCGGCATTTCTACAGCAGCATTTCCTGTTTCCTCTCGCGAATCTTGCGTCTTCTGTGCACCGGAAGTGATCCCCGGGCAGGAGGTTGTCCGGGCTATTGCGTCAGGTGAGGAGGAAGGAAGGAGAGGAAGGAGTGGTGCGGGGGGACTGCGCTCTGGGCTGTTCGGCTCGGGAGGTGGTGCAGTGTAGGTGACCGGCCCTGCCCTTTTCACAAGTGCGAAGGACTCCGCCTTTTCCTCCCAGTTCTCCTGCGTAGTTGGGTGATAGCGCCGCCTTTGGGAACGGGCGCCGCATGACCCGTAGGTGAGGCTAGGTCGCTCGGGATCTCCCGCGCCCTTTGGTCTTTGCTTAAGGGAAGGGAGGCAGTAATTTTTCAGCAACAGGTTTCATATTTACGTCCCTTGAAGACGCTAATATTTATTGAGCTCTCACTATGTGTTAGGAACAGTTTTAGGAGTTGGGACATGGCAGTGAGTAAAGCAGACAGACTTCTCTGCCCTAAGGCAGCTTATATTTGAATGGAACTTGAGATGACTGTGGATCAGAAGTGGCAGTGGCTCAGAATCAGATTTTTTTTTTTTTTTTTTTTGTATGGGTAGGAGGAAGAGGAAGTTATGTGAGATCAAGAAGACACACAGGTGCCATTTTTGGGGAGCGGGGATGGGGGGTGGGGAAAACAATTGTGCAGAACATTGATATGCTGTGGTCGCACATTGGAGAGCATAAAAATCATGAATGCAGTTAGGAATTTAGGACTGGTGAACTTGTGCTCTTGCTATGAGATATAATATTAGTTTTCTTTTTTTTTTTTTCCTTCAGGAAGATTCTAAAGATTAGACTGTAAGAAAGAAAGCAAAGACCATGTTTCGAAGACCTGTGTTACAGGTAGACACTTTTCTGTATTAATGCTGGGGTATGTTATGATCCCGAGTGATCAGATTTCTTTTTGCTTTTAACTTTCAGGGGCAAGTTAAAACCTTTGGGTCCATCCACCTACTTCTGTGTACTCATGTAATATCCGGGGTTGGGGACAGGCTTTACCTGTGTAAACAACGCCTACTAAAAAAGAAATTCAAGTTTATTCACATATATTAGGAATCACTAATTTTTAAAATGTGTTATTTGTGTTTAGTTCGGTTAGAGAGCATTTAAGGTCTTTAGTGATCTTGTTCTCATTTTTCTATAGGGTATGTGGTTCCTTTTCTGACTCTGTTACTAGATATTCCTCTTCTCCCCATCTCTCCACAGTAAGGAGAACAGCTCAGGTCTCAGGGTCACCACAGATTCACTATGTACAAAATTCCTTCTCAATCCACTCATTCTGGCTCCTCATCTATCTACTCATGCTAGTCCATCTTGAGCCAGCCTAGACTACCATTTCACCTTACTTACCATGCTTTGGAAGTTAGTATTATCCTTTATAATACTGCTCTCCTACTTTCCCTCCTCCGATTAAGAACAGTGAAGAATCAGTTCCTGTATGAAATCTGCTCCCCCACCACTGTTGAATTAAGCTTATATTCTTGGATGCCCATCTAACCTATTTGTACCTCTAACCTGCTTTTCTGTGGTAGAAATGTGAAATATAAAAAGTTATTACTGTCTTGATAATACTGTTTCATGTTACAGTATTAAAATGTCTTTAAAAACCAAGCACAGGAGTTAAAACTTTGACTTTAAAAATTATCCATGTTAATCCTTTCCCTATTTCTTCTCCAGCAGGTTTTGATTTTTGTATGGCCAAAATGAGACATTTTTATTTTATATGTACAAGCTCTGGCATATCTGAGCACTCAAATTAGTACATATTTAGAATCACGACACAGGTACTAGTTAGCAGTTTGATTCTGTAGTATATTGTAATACATCTTTATTTTCTCATCCACCCTGTGCTTCAAAATTTAGTAATAGGATTATATAGTTGACAGTACCCCAGGAAGTGGTATATATTGGATTTGTGGACTTGTGCTTTTTATATTAACGATGCTGCCACTTGGAAAGTGTTTCTCTGGTAGACTGTTTAGTTCTCAGATGATGTGTACTCCCATCTTTACAGTAGCCCTTAAATAGAATGTCAGAGGCAACAGAGGGCAGTGGGAAAGCAGCATCAGTCTTGGCTTTGGAGGTTTTGGGTCCTTGAGATGATTTGACATTTATTTATTGCAGGATCTTGGGCAGGTTATACAGCTTCTCTGGGGTTCGGTTTCCGTGGCTCTAAAGTGAGGATAGTTTTACATAACTTACAGATTTAGTTTTTTAATTAATTGACAATAGATAAATCACTTAGCCATAAATTCCTTCTATTGTGTGGGAGCTATTACCCTTTTTTGACAACTATGTGACTTTGACTTGGACATCCAGATCTTTGTACTTAGCAAAGAACCAAATTTGGGTCTCAGACTTTTTTTTGATCTACTAAAAGCATGAAATTTTCAATCAGATATTTGTAGAATTCTAAGGGCTAAGCTCACTGAAAAAACTATTTCATTTTTGTAATAGCCTTGTGAAGTAGATATTACCTATTGACATTTTTGCTCATTTTTAATTGAAACACTTCAGGTTAAGCATACTGAAGGTATTTCCTAGTTCTTTTGAGTTCTGAAGGAACAACTAGGGGAAGGCAGGTTCATAGACTCTTCAAGTTTTATCCACAGGGAGTCTGACTTTGGAATTTGTTCCTGTTGCTATGTCAGAAATCAGTCGTGTCATTAAAGCAGGGACTGTATTGTTTTATTGGAATTCAGCCTATTTCTCATTAAACTATCTGTTCTTAATGGCTGAGAGTGAGTCTTGAGTAATGCTATTGCATTTACTCTATATATGCTAATCATTACTTGTGTTATTAATGAATCTACTCATTAATATGCTAACTATACAATATTGATCTCTTTCTACTCTCCTTTAGTCTAAATTATGGACTAAATCTGTACCCATATTAGATAAATTCAAAGTCTACTTCTAAAGTCTGCTATAACCAAAATGTAGAAATAATAATACCAGTTGTTTATTTTAAAAAGTTGGCCTACTCTATCGAATGTATGTACTTTTTGCTTCTTTCTGTGTCTCCTGCTAGTGAAAGCTAAATTTTTACAATACTTGGCAGCAAGTCTTAGAGATAGGTTGGGTTTACAATCACTTTCATACTCTTTTTTTGTGAGAGTGGTGCTGTTTCAGTTTTACCTTTTGTGTATAAACACAGAAGACTGTAATCGGGGATTGCCTCAGAAGAAATAGGAGGGGACTGTAAGTTAGCTTTGGGGCGTGCTTTCTAGTACCTTCTGTGTACCTTTGGGATTCTATCGTCAGCTGCACTTAATGTGATTGCTTGGTTCTTCTGGCACTGTATTGGGAGAACATGGAAAGAGCTTCTCATCTCTTCTTGAACGTATAGGAAATGTTGACTAAATGGTGAATGGATATGAGCAGGTCTTCTGTTTGTATTTGTCTGTCCTGAAAATTAAAGCTGTGTTACACATTTGTTCCCTTTTAGGTACTTCATCAGTTTGTAAGACATGAGTCTGAAACAGCTAGCAGTTTGGTTCTCGAAAGATGTAAGTAGTTAATTTCCAAGTGTACACATTGTCTATGGTAATGTGCTAATATTCTCAAATGTGCTCTAGAAGTGCATTGGTTGGGCTAACTGCAGTATCATCATGCCTTTGACTCCCATTTGCTCCTCAGATCTTGAGTTCTTGGCTTGGCCTCCGTTAGGCTATGGGGACCTTGCATAAATTGTGCCTTTATTCTCCTTTTTAGTCAGTCTATTCATTCTTGTTATCAGTGTCCTGCATAAGAATTTGCTTGAGTCATATTTGGGTATCTGAGTCTTCCAGAGTTTTGTTATATTAGGTTGAAATTGTGAAAAATACTGTTTCACAGAAATATCCCTTATATTTATAAAGATTTGCAGATCTCAGATTGGTTCTTTTAGCTCCATAGACAGTTTATAAAAGGATATCTTAAAGAAGAATTTAAGATAAAGAGCTTATAGTTTGTTTTGTTGGGCTCCTTTTTTCATGACTGTTTTCTCCTTTATTGGCAACTCTCCTTTTTTCTCTCTTAACCTCTCTTTATTCACTTCTTTAACTTATTTTCTGATCTTCTAGAGCTTGGGTTTAGCTTAATATAGAAGTAGATATTGAAACAATACTTGTAGCTATTCCTCTTCTGAATATTTTTCTTAATCTTAGGTGTGGATTTTTTAAATGTTCAGCTTGCTTGGGCTGCTATAACAAAATAGCATGGAGTGGGAGGCTTAAACAATAGCATTTATTTATCACAATTCTGGAGACTAGAAGTCCAAGATTAGGGTACCAGCATGATTAGGCTCTTGGTGCAGGGTCTCTTCATGGCTTGCAGATGATTGCCTTCTCTTTGTCTTCACATGGCAGTTCTTATAAGGACACCATGGGGGCCTTACTCTCCTGATCTCATTTAAGTCTAATTGCCTTCTAAAGGCCCTGCCTCCAAATGCCATCACACTGGAGGTTAGTGCTTCAACATATGAATTTGGGGAGGAGGAGCACAAACATTCAGGCCATAGCAGGTTCTCGATCTCATTTTAACTCCACATTGCATTTCAGCCCTGAATCGTGTACAGTTACTTGGCCGAGTGGGTCAGGACCCTGTCATGAGACAGGTGGAAGGAAAAAATCCAGTCACAATATTTTCTCTAGCAACAAATGAGATGTGGCGATCAGGAGACAGTGAAGTTTACCAAATGGGTGAGTAGAAAAGACTGGGGTTTTTATTTTACCAGCAACAAATGGATATTATTTATTGCCAGTTACCTAATTTATAGATAAACTACTTTTAGATAAAGTGTTTTTCAGCCTGTTCTGTTTTCTTAGAAATTGTGACATTGGTTTTATTGGGCATGTTGTCTATTGGCATTTGTAACTATGTTTCCTACTCTTGTGATTTAGGTGATGTCAGTCAAAAGACAACATGGCACAGAATATCAGTATTCCGACCAGGCCTCAGAGATGTGGCATATCAGTATGTGAAAAAAGGGTAAGTTGAAGAAGGAAGGGTCTTCTGGATTGAATGGTTTAAAGAACTGATAACAAGTTCTCATGACAAGGATTATATAACTTCTTGTATCCCTGAGTACTGCTGATTACTCTATAATTTAAGAGGTATTTAAGTCCTTGATACTATCTGCTTGGCATGTTGCCATGTGTGTAACTAATTCAGAGGTGTATAAAATGTGGTGTTAGCCTTCTAAGATCTTACAAAGTAGGGCAAATAAAGGGTGTACATAAATAGAAGTAGATGAAGCAGGAGAGAAGGCAAAATGTATTGTTACTTGAACAAGGAAAACACATGCTTTTAGGAGTCCCTGTGCCTCTATGGCCAGTGATGCTGAGGGTGGTCTTGCCTTTTGGCATTCACATTATGTCCCTAGCAGAGGATCTGGAATGTCTGACACCTGATACACTGAGTTATTATGGTAATAGTCATGGTAGTTATTTTATTTTTAGTAGTTCTCTTTTGGAATATTTGGGTTGAATATATATAAAAAGTGTTTGTTCCAAACTCAGAAAGACAAAAATATATTTAATGCAGTTGTGTTAATAATTAATTTGTTTAGAAATTGAATTGTTTTGTAGAAATAGTAAAAATTTATTTCATGGAAAGTAATTCAACAATGACTATTGTTTTTATTTATTTTCAATAACTGCATAACTTCATATGTCTCTCCATTGCCCTTCATGTATATATGGATGAATATGTGCATATACATACACACAAACACATATATTCAAGGAAAGTGTCTGTGTGTGCTTTCACCTGCTAATTGATGAATGTGTATGTGTGTGTGCGTACCTGATGATTTTGTTGGTCTTCTTTCTATATCGTACTTTTTGGTGGTAGACATTCAGAACTGATACCATTATGGTCATTTTTCCACCCTTTAAAATCACTGTTAGGGGAAAAAAAAAAACCCAAACCACTTAGGATTGTCATCTAGTTCAGCCTTCTAGATAGTGTAGAAATCTCTTAGTAATTACCTCTGAGTGATATACTCAGCTGAGTAGAAATAATCTTGGTAATTAACTCAGAGTGATATACTAAGCTGAAAACTCCTATTTTGAATGTTAACAATCTAATCTTCACTACAGAAAGGAATTGATAAATAAGTGAATATCGAATGTTAGGAACTCCAAAATCAAATGTCAAGGAAAGTAACACACTAGAAATTACTCCTAGAGTAATTCCCCCACTGCCACAATGGCATGAGGATTTATTAGGATGTGCCTTAAAACAGGCACTGGGGCTTGCCCAGAGTGCTCTTGATGTATAAGGCCCGAACTTCTGCCAGTTCTTGTGTAATGACATCAAGAAGTTGACAGCTGGGTGGATGTTATAGTCATCATCTGTCATCTTCACTTGGCCAGTGGCCACAGCCAGATACAGCCCCTTCTTCATCTGGAACTTGATTGTGGACTTCACCTCATCAACTTTGGCCACTATTTTTTTTCCTTGTGTGTCAGCAGGGAAGATAACTTACCAGCCTTAATTAGGCCTGGGCCAAGGATTCATGGAATCTGCTTAATAAGAGACTCTGAGGCTAAAAAGGCATGATACTTCTTGGCCAGTTTCTTGACCAGCTTCTTGTTCTTGTTGAGCCTCTTCAGCACCTTGATGTCCATGTGTGGGATGTCCACAGCCTTGGCTTCATCATAGTGCTGCTGGTCCTCCAGGACACACATGGAGAACTCGGGGTGGGGAGTGGACTTGAGCCTGAGGGTGTCAGAGAAGCACTTGCCCCAGGGGTCATAGTTCTTCAGGTTGACCTGCAGCTCCACCGTCTACAAGAACTTCTGCCTCTTACACTGGTTCCCTGAAGGACTTCCCGTACTGCCTCGTATAGCGTGTTGCATGAGACTTTGCTGCTCATGGCTCCTTGCGGTGTGATAATCGGAAAAGAGCTAGAGATCTCCAATATGCTGCTAAGTTTCCCTTTGAACAGTTTTTTTTTGGTTTGTTTTTTTAACTTCCATAGGAAAATAGCTTAATAAGGAAAACACCTTATTAAAAAAAATGTTGTCCTTTTTACCTAGCTGGTGTCAAGTCTGTTTTTACATTCTGTTTCAGTACCCCTAATTCTGAACTTTGAGAAGTGGTAGCAAAAATGGTTACGTATGATTATATACTTCATTCTTGTTATATGCTCATTACCACCCCTGACCTTACTCTTTTTAAAAAACATATTAGGATCTCACCCAAGAACTAAATTTTATTTATATCAGGTCACGAATTTATGTGGAAGGGAAAGTAGACTATGGTGAATACATGGATAAAAATAATGTGAGACGACAAGCAACAACAATCATAGCTGGTAAGAAGCTTGTGATAATAGCTGTTTTTTTTTTTTCCTTTTTTCCCCTCTCCTTTAAAACCTTGGCCATAGTACAAGTCACTTTAACAGGGACTTTGAGTATGGATGCTGATGAGATTGTAAGGCAACTCACTAGAAGAATTCTATGACTCTGGTTTTTCTGCTTGTTAAGAGTTTCTACATTAATCTATTACTTTAGGAAATTATTTTTATAGTTTTAGTTCACAAGTAACTTTTGAGAAAAGTCTAAAATTGAATTGTCCATGTCGGACCTTATTATTGAGAATTAGAAAAACTTAATCTAGTGTTTTTTTGAAGGACGTGGCCTAAACAGGGAGAAGCATGTGCCAATATAGAGCTACACTAATAATGTGAGTAGCATCTGAAATTTGTGCAGATTTATTCAGACCCTTTTTGGTACTTTGTATTCTGAAATTTCTACTTGAAATTAAACAGTTTTTAATGTTCTCTTTAAACAAAATACAATGCAACCTAGGAAAGGTGGACACTTAAAGCTTAAAGAAGATTAAGAAGATATCCCCTAGAGAAGAGTTTTTAAACTTTTGAAATTTTTTTAAGAGTTTTGAAGATAACATACCCCTCTGAACAACTTTCGGTGATATTAAGACCTTTTTTCAATATAAAATTATGTTACTCTTAAATGTATTACTGGACTCTAAATGCCATAGGAATTTGATACCCATCACCTTATTAAAAAAAAAAATACGTGAACAAGCTCTTCAACATTCGGACATTTCGCATTATTTTTCTCTTTGAATTTGTTTTACAATTTTCATTTTCTCCTCAGAAGTGTATCTTAATAGAATTGTACAGTTAAAAATCTTTCATTATTTACTCTATCTTTGACAAATTATGCTTGACTGGCTTATCATTAAAGTTGTTCTTAGTATCTAAATGACCAGAACAATTTTAATATATAAATATAAAAACTAAAATTTTGCTGGAAATGTATTTTTAATAAGATAGATAGTGGTTTTTTCACTTCTTGAATAAATTACTAAAGTTATACCTTGTTAAACCTCAATTTGTTACCTTGTTTATTTTTAGTAATATAAATACTAAGAAGCTGTTTTCTTATAAAGTAGTTGGAAATAAAAGAAATTTTACTGTAGAAATGTTTTGATGTTTAAGAACTTCTGAGGTATGCCCAAATTAGATAATGGCAAACATACATAAAAGTAGTAAAATGAACTCCCACTATTTAACTTCATCAATTACCAGCTGATGGCCAGTGTTACTTCATCCATGCCTCCAGCCGCTTGTCCTCTCCACCTGGGTTATTTTGAAGCGAATCTCAGACATTATATCATTTTATTCTTAAATTTCAGTAAGTATCTCCAAAAGATAAGGTATCTTTTTGAAAACATGAATACCATGCTATTAATCATACCCCCTATTAAGAAATTATTGCTCAATTTTTTAAAGTAAACATCACAGTGTTCAAATTTCCTTGATTGTTTCATAAGTAAACAGTCATACATTATATTACATGGTTTACATATATCTTAAGGCCCTTTTAATAGATAAATTTTTCTTTTATCTTTTTCCTTTCTAGAGTTCATATACCAAATTAATTAAATTATAATTTGTTGTAAATAATGCTCATATTTTTTTTACTGGTGAGTTTCTTTGAAAGTATTTTAATCTTGAAAAGTAACATAGGTATTTTCCTACTCTCATTTGTGTTTTATTGTAAACCAAGTGTGTGTGTAAATTTCGGATTGTTCAGATTGTTGAGTTGTTATGAACCAAGCTAAACAAGCATTTCAGATGATCTGCTGTTTTGTTTTTCTCTTGTCATCAGTCATGATGATCACAAACTTTTCATTAACATGGTCGTAAGCCTTTAACTATATAGGTTTATGACTGATGGCAAAATTAAAGAAATCTTCAGTGATATTTGAATTGCCAAAAATAGAGTTTATTGGTTAATCTGTTTTATAGGTCATATATTTTTCTTCTAGGGATCCTATGTTTAACTTCAAAATAATTACCAGTGGATGGCACTCTTGGCTTTTCCACAGTAATGTCAATTCTAATAGTCTCATCTGAAGTAACCCTTCTATACCAAACTTTCAATTTTTGGAGGATGCGAGTCATGAACAAATATTCAGTCCTTTGTGAATAATTGTATAGTTGTAAGAATCTAGATCTTTTGGAGTTATACGGGAAATACAGTCATTCTTCTGTGTATGTGGGTTCTGTATCTGTGGATTTAGCCAACCATGGTTCAAAGATATATTTTTTAAAAAAGGAATCAATAAAAGCAACAATACAACAATAAAAAAGTAATACAAATAAAACAATATAGAATGACAGCTATTTACATAGCATTTACATTGTATTAGGTATTAAAAGTAATCTAGAGATGATTTAAAGTATACAGGAGGATGTGCGTAGGTTATATGTAATACACCATTTTATATCAGGGACTTAAGCATCTGTGGATTTTGGTATTTATAGGGGTCTTGGAACCAATTCCCTATGACTACTGAAGGAGAGCTGTACCATTTACCTCTCTTCTTTTGCTTATTTTTTGCTTACCCCCTTTGGAGGAGCATTTTAAGTGCATTGTTTGCTATTTTTGGATAAAAATGCTCACTCTGTAATACTGATTAGTAAAAATTTTCCCAAGAGTGGGTGTATTGAAGTTATTTTATTGTTTAAAAATAAAATTTCTTCTTTATGAATTTTTAAACTTACTTAAAAACCTAAATTAAATAGATTCTGTCATTGTTAACAGGGCCACATGTGGACCCTTGTCTGTTCTTCCATGCCTCCAGAATGTGGAATTATATACTTCGCCCTTTTCTCTTTGAGGATGTGCTGCCTGCTTTCATGACATTTGACCAAGCATTGCAAGCATCCAGTTTTGTAATCAGTTCTTTTGAAGGAAGTTATTTTTGAGAAGACTTTATCTTGTTTTCAGGAAAGATAAGAAATATCTTCTAACGAGATGTGAATTGTTGCACAAACAGCCAATGCCCAACTTTTAGCTCCATTTATACCTACTATATATACTTCTCATAAACATAGCAAGAGTTATTTAGTATTTTGAAAATTTGTCTAAAATCCTTTCAGTGGACAACACTAAAATGTGTGTATATTAGAGGGGAATTATTAAGTGAGATGGAGAAAAGTTTCTAAAAATAATATTTATACTTTGGCTTCTTTACAGATAACATTATATTTCTGAGTGACCAGGCAAAAGAGAAGGAGTAGCATGGACGATTCTTCTTTGGCCGTTGTTTGGTACAGTCTCATTTCCAAATCATGTATACTCTTTAGTTTCTAAGGACAAGAATTAAACTTATCTTTTATATAAAATGAGTGATAATATTTTTCCAGTCTGTCATTCTCTCATCTCTTTTTGTGGCATAACCTTGGTTTGCTACTATCTTTTATGGTATTTACCAGTTTATTTTATTTTATTTTTTTTAGGGGTAATTTCTATGCACAAGTATACAAAATAGTGAACTTTCAGGTTTATCTGTCTGTGTTATGACAAAGGGATAAATATCCTTTGGGAAGCCTTCCTGTTTTTTGATGTACACTTCTGCTATGGCATTGATTCAGCCACTCAGTGAATTTGTGAGCATTTATTGTATGTCAGACATTTATTCCATGGTTATAAATGTTGATTTTCTTACCTTTTTGCTCTATGGACTTTAAGGACTGAATTTTCTCTGTGTAGATGCACCTTAAACAGTGCTTGGCTCAGAATAACTGCTCAGTAAATAGATAATAGATGAATGATTCCAGTGGCTTTGGCCGAAATTGAAGGGTATTGCTGAACAGTGGGGTGTGTCTAACCCAAATATCTTTAAGGCTAACCTACCTTTTCACATCTTTTGTTTTTGGACAGTTTCACTAGTAGCGTTTATGAAACTTAGTTAACCAGCAGTAAGGACCCACAGTATTACTGGAGATTAAATAGTTGATCTCCAGGTGATAACCATAGGAATCTGGTTCTATTGTTTTCTGTCTTTCTATGCCCTTCCTCTCTGTCCATTTAAAGTCTTATCCAGAGTGGGGAGGATGGAAGTATGTCCTCTTAACTTTTGACAATGCCTTAGTGCCTCAACTGTTGCATTTTCCTTTCATTTTTTCCACGTGGTCTGTTGATGCACATAGAGATCATTATGTACATTGTATAATTTTTTAATATAAGATTCAAGACATTTTAGAATACTAATAATTTACCAGTAACCGTTACATGAAACACACTCAGTTTTTCAGTGCATCTTTTGCTTATTTAATTAATTAGAGATGGGGTCTTGCTATGTTGCCCAAGCTGATCTTGAACTCCTGGCTTATGCAATCCTCTACCTCGGCCTTCTCCCAGAATACCGGAATTACAGACATGAGCCACTGTGCCTGGCCTGTGTCTTTTGCTTTTTAAAGTTTTGAATCAGTCCTCCCCAAGTCTGCCTGCTAGTTTGTTGCAGTTTTCCAGAGGTTGGTTGCTACTGAACAGGTGGTTTGTTCAAATGGTAGAAGTTTCTCGTTTTATCTAGACCAGTTTGTCTCCAGTTTGGCCTCTGGCCCAGGCTGTGTAGTTTTCCCAGGTATATGTCCTTTCCCCTCTGCCTGAGAGTTTGAACTTTTACTGGTTCAGAATTCATATGCTATGTTAGAAGCCCTTGATTTTTTGTTAAGGTATTTTCTGTAAACTTCGGTAGCATTTTTGTTCTTGGAGTACAGTTTGGTTTATCCTCTCCTTGCCCAGGAATAGTAGAAAATTCATGACTGTTTTCTCCTACCAGCCATCTTTTTTCCTGCAGCTAGGACCCACTAATCAGCATATTAACTCTGTTCACACGTTAAAACTGACTGCTGATGTCATCCTTATTTTTTTATGCCACATACACAAAATTGTGAAGTCGCTAAAATTTATCTTTTGAGCAACTCTTTATTTTTTCCATTAGCAAAGTTGTTTTTATACTCCTTAAACATTGTGAGGAGTTATATATTAGTATTTGTATTTAAGCAGGGTAATAAATCTGTACTTTGGGAAAATGACACAGAGAGCAAAAGAGCCTAATTACCAACTCCCCAGTTGTTGAGTGCAGGATGCAGGGGCAGAAGAGTGTGCCCTGTAGAATCACAGTGGGCCGAGGGGCTCTTCTCCAAACTTTCCCACTGGCAATTGCACCCTTTCTCTTGTCTCTGAAAGCTATGAGGCTGAGGCAGTTGCTCTTTCAGAGTCAGTTACATAGTGTTGTGTCCTCAGTAAGTGTATGGTTCTGGTAGACCCAGTGGCCCAGACCAGTTGGAGCATAAACTGCCCTCCTCATGTAGGCAGCTACATCTGTTGAGAAACTTTCTGCTACTCCTAAGCTGGTCTAGGTGCAGGATGGATTTGTGGAATCTGATAGGAGTAAGAGACTGTAGGGACCTGCATTTCCCTTTTTGATGCTGTGATCGCGTCAGGAAATAAACCTGCAGAAAACTGCCCTGTGACCTTGATTTGGGGATTTCATGTTAAATGGAAAGAGGAATATGATAGAAAAGTGAGAGAAAATGTATCAAATAGAATGTGTGATATTACCTCGTTTTTGAAAAAGAAGTTTTTTCTTTAAAAAAAGAAAAATATAAGTATAGGTTTAAAAAAGTCTGGAAGGAGAAACATCAAAATGTTATGATTATCTCTGGATAGGGATATGATGTGTGTTTTTTCTTGTTTCTTCATATTTTTGTATATTCCAATTTTTTTATAGCATGTATTTTATAAAAAAAATTTTTTTCATCACGGGGGAAAAAAATCTTCTATTATTTCTAAACCAGACTTACTCAACTCATTTACTTCAACCACTACCACTTCATGTATTGGATGTGAACAAGAAAATCTTTTATATACTTTTTTCCACCATCTGAATTTCAGCATCTCATGCTTGTATACTTCATTCATCTCTTAATATGTGTGCACAGTCCAGAATAATTTGCTTTAATGACCAACCTGTATAATCACTGTTGGGTCATATCATTACAGTTCTCAAAGTGTCATCCATTTCTCAAAAAACACTGGACAATTAATACAGAGATGTTCCAGAACACCAAAGACATATTTTCTCTGGCTGATTTGACAATAGAGTATACATTTCTTTGGGGATTATTGTTATTGCCAGCTGGGTTACAGCCTAACCTTTGAGACGTAGTTAGGAAACATTAATGGCAGTTTCCCTTTGTTCCCAAGAGAAATCATGCAGTTCTTGAAACAGGGTTGTCTTTTACTCAAACTTCCCTTTGGTCCCCATTCAGCTCAGCCTGAGTGGCATTATAGGGCTTTCTAAATGTTGTTCAGTTGGGTGGGACTGAAGCATGGACCTGAAAGTGAGGACAGGACCACTTTACTTGTGTTTCTGTTAGGATTTGCATTATATGCTGTGAAGATCGATGGGAATAACAGCAGGAAAATCATTGTAGAAAATGAAAGATAATTCTGAAGTTAATGAGTTACAAGGAGATCTTTTAAGAGGCGGCAGTAATCATTAATGACTGACATTTCTTTTCTGATTACTATATGACGCACTAAGCTAAGTACTTTTTATCATGGCCTAATTTTATTCTTATCCTAAGAAGGAGGTACTACATGCCATTTTACAGGTGAGGAAACACAAAACTGAGAGGTTAAATCACTCGTCAGGGTCATACAGTTCATAAGATGCACGACTGGAGTTTGAACTCAGGTATGTGAAGTTTGCATTTTGTTTTCTTCCCCGACCTGCTTCCACTTGTGCCCACTCTCCATTGGCTCCCACATTCACAGCCTCACAGCTGGCCTCTGAAGAGTGCCCTATGCAGCATACATCCTATCATAGGTTTTGGTTGAGGAGAGTTATTAGTGAAAGAGAAGATTCTCAGTCTATGAGTTCTACAGGAAAATGAGCCAGTTAATGTCCCTACCATGTTATCCTAACATATTCTACTTGCTTTCTTTACATCAAGCTGTGTCTCTACTGGTTAGAATAAGTTCAGAGTATATGCTCCTTTCGTCATTTACTTATTGGCAGTTGAGATAGTTGAGAACGTTGTTCAAGAATGTGTCAGACCTACTCTTAAGAGGGTGAGACTTGGGCAGGCATCAGCAGCACGGACATCTCCCTCACTACTGTGATTTGCCTCTGTGCTGGCCTCACAGTCTGTCATAGGGTAGTGTGTAGAGTTTTAGGTTGTTGGTATCATGCAGCCATGATAAGGAAATTCTCTTTTTGCCTCTCTGTGCCTCATCTGTTTGCTCTCTGCTGTGTTTGGGATGTCATGGTCCTGTTTTGCTATACAGGTGTGCATATTGACATTTAGTTTCTCTGCCTTACCTGTTATTTGAAGAAAAAAAAGTTGGTTAAGGCTGAACTATTATTAGTTAACTATTAGTTAAGGCTAAACTATTATTACAGTCAGACAGCCTGGATTTGAAGTCCTGTTTCTCCACTCACCAGTGCAGGATCCTGCTGAATGACTATCTACCTCAGATCTTTTGTTTTTCTATAAGACAGGGAAAATAATGGTACCTGCTTTAAGGGCCAGCCATGAAGAACACAGCACAATAAACAATACATGTAGCCTATCTAATGCATAGTATTAATACATAGCAACTGAAATTAGTGCTCAGTACATGTGAGCTATCGTTATTGTTGTTTTCAACAAGGTGTAGCATTCTTTCATCCACTATGTCCATCTCATTAAGTTTCATGTAATACTCATAAGAGCATATTAACCTTAGAATAGTTTTTTGTTCTTGACGTTTTTGTTGTTGTTAACTTTCATGGATTACTGAGTACTTATTCCACGTTGGTGGTGTTTTTTGGTTGTTTTTAATTTTTCAAAACTATTCACAGTTAATCTGGTTTTTATAAATTCCAAGGTCAGTTGAGCATCTGCTGCATGTCATGTACCGGTACAAGACCTGGATAGAGGGAAGAATATGGCAGGACCCCTGCCTTGAAGGGGCTCACAGTTAGGCTTGGCTGGGAAAGATAAGCAGAAGCCTATATAGCTACTTGTGTTAGGGTGTGATGAACAAAACAGGTTAGTTTTCAGCAGCGAAAGCAGCATGAGAAAGATCCAGAAACTTAAAAGCTTATGAAGCAGTGAAAGATGAGACATAAAAAGTGAGTTTGGAATAGATTGTAAAGGGTCTTGAGAACTTGCAGAGAACTTTGGAAATCAGGAGCCATAGAAGGTTTGAAAACAGGGAACTTTTTCCAGAATTGTGCTTTAGAAGGACAGTAAAGAGTAGAAAGGGAAAGCCTAGAGGCAGTTAGGAAGCTATTGCAGCAGCCTAGAAATGTTAGTAGAGCAGGGGTGAGGGTGGCGGGGGAGAATGGCCTTGAGGGCATTTGGGATTCCCATTGATTCCACACATATTAGCTAGTTTTGTGCCAGATTCTGTGCTAGGTAGACTCTGGGTTAGAGCCTAAGAAGACTTATAGCTACCGTGCAGGATCTAGTGGTGACACAATTGGTATTTGTAAGAGAAAAAGCCATTCACAGATGGTTCTGATGCTCCTGCTTGGGCACATTTGTGGATAGTGGCACTTAGTTTCTGAGTTTATGGAATATGGATGTGGGAGCAGATTCGAAAGGGGAAAGATAACAAACTTAACTTCAAACATAGTTTATTTGCAGATGTTATAGCTGGTACTTAGCAGCATGTTGATTATATTACTCTGGAGTTCAGAAGAGAAGGTGAGACCAGACTGATTTGTTCTTTTGCCAAACACATTATAAACAGGTTTTGTGGGATAACTTTTAAATGTTGACAGAATTCCAGCTTTCTGTTATAGGAAACCATATTGTGGGAAAGATTTCTAGTTGCCCACCTGTTTTAAAATGTATCTGGTACTTGTTTTAACCATGTATAGTAAGATGACAGACCTTGGAGATGACCGTCTTTGAAAGAAGAGTTTTTTATTACTCACGGTTCTTAAGAGGAGGAGTCATGCTATGCAGGGCCACTCCAGGAAGCCCCAGGGTTGGTCAGGAGACAGAAGGCATGGGCCAGAGTCTTTGTTGTGTTTTACTTGGGGCTGAATGGGTAAGGCATGACAGGCAAGCTTGAGCAAGTTTAGGAATGGGTAGTTTGAATAATTTCAGCAGGCTGTACGCTCTCAGATTGGTCCCTGTTGTCAGGTTCCTGGTCCTGGAGCAATTGAAGCTAGGGTGATTGAAGCCAGGGTGTAGTGTTCTAGACTGCATGAGCCTGAGAAAAGGAGGTGGAGACAGAGTGTGGACTTAAGACTGACTGATTTGCTTATCAAAGAATGCTCTCAGGCACATTGTTTGCTGACTGGAAAAATAAGCTAACCTGGGGGGCAGTCCTTCTCTGGGTCTGCAAGACCCCAAGGTGTCAAATTTCATAAAACACAGAAAATAAAAAAAAAAAACAGGATTAATGCACTACCAAGGACCTGTTATCTCTTCTATATAGAGCCCATGTGTTATTGAGGGTGATGTGCGCACAGGTCACATACTACTTTTCTGTGCTCCTTTGAAGTTAGGGGTGACCAAGAGGCTACAGGAGAATTCATTTGGTGATCCTTCCAGGAAATTGTTTATATGAGCTCACTGTTAGAGGGCTTATCCTTTGTGCTTCTCCAGACCCTCATGCTCCAGCTTTTCTTTCTGATCTGAATGTGGACATTTCATGACTGAATCTCCAGTTGCCGTCTTGGACCATGAGGCGATCTTCAGAATGGAGGATGGAAGAAACTGGAATCTGTGATCACCATGAAACCACCACCAAACCAGTTCTTGACAGTCTGCCTTCAGACTGCTTTGGGAGAACAAATAAACCTCTACTTTGTTTAAGCTACTTATTTGTGTTTTCCAGTTAAACCTAATCCCTACGAATTTGCACATTCTTGCCTTTATGTCCACATACATGGTTAGTTCTTTACTCTTACCTCTGTTACCATAGTCCTTCAGGTTTTAAATGTGTGTCATTAAATTTGGGGAAGGGATTAGACATAAAAAGTATGCAAAACCTTAGCAATTAGTCTTTAAAAAAGTGAACATAAGTGGTTAGGCACAGTGGCTTATACCTATAATCCCTGCACTTGGGAAGCTGAGATGGGAGGATCACTTGAGGCCAGGAGTTCGAGACTAGCCTCAGTAACATAGACACCATCTCTACAAAAAAATTTAAGAAATTAGACCATCTCTACAAAAACTTCAAGAAATTCGCCATGTGTGGTGGTACGCACCTGTAATCCCAGTTATTCAGGACTACAGGTTGAGGCGCGAGAATTACTTGAGCCCAGGAGTTGTAGGCTGCAGTGAGCTATGATAGAGCCACTGCACTCCAGCCTGAGTGACAGCCAAACCCTGTGTCCTAAATAAATAAATGTGAACATAAGCATATTATCACATCAAATAGATACTGCTTAATTTTGCTTATAGTCCTTGATGAGGATCCTTAACTAGTTGCCCCTTGTGAATAAAGGCGCATAAGAAGTACTGTCAGCCGGGCTCGGTGGCTCAACCTGTAATCCCGCGCCTTGGGAAGCTGAGGTGAGTAGATTGCCTGAGCCCGCGGGTTCGAGACCCACCTGGGCAACTTGGTGAGACCTCATCTCTACAATAAATCAAAAAATTAGCCCGGTGTGGTAGCGTGCGCCTGTAGTTCCAGCTACTTGGAAGGCTGAGGCGGAAGGATTGCCGGAGCCCAGCAGATCGAGGCTGCAGTGACTGGGAGCGGCCACTGCACTCCAGTCTGGGCGACAGAGTGAGACTCCAACTCAAAAAAAAATTTAAAAAAAGTACTGTCTTTATGCTTCCCCTTGCAGAATAGGAGCCTAGGTCCTCTGGGGTGGGAAGGGAACAATCCTACATCACAGTTTTTAGTTGCATCATTAACATGTTATTAGCCTGCTTCAGTTGCCATGGCAAAATTAGACTGGGTGCCTTAAAAACATTTATTTTCTTAACAGTTCTGAAGGCTGGAAGTCCAAGATGAGTTTGTAAGCAGGGTCACTTTCTGGTAAGGTCTCTCTTTCTGCTGGCTTGCAGGTGGCCACCATCTCTACATGCTGACACGACTCTTTTTTGTGTCCCTACACATAGCAGGTCCCCACTCTAATGACCTCTTTTAACATGAATTATTTCCTTAGAGGCCGTATCTCCAAATGTTGGAGGTTAGGGCTTCAACATAAATTGGTTGGAGTTGGGAGGGTGGGCAGGGCATAATTTAGTCCTTAGTCTTGGGCTTGTGAGAAGAAAGGCAAGTCTCCAAGTGACAATTTAAAAATAAATATGGAGCTGAAACTGAATAGGTGACACAGAAGAAGGGGTTCCCTGATCACAGGCATTTTGACTTGAAAGTTAAAAACAAAGTATGTGCCAAAGGTGTTGCTCAGACATGTTTGGAAAATTTTTTTTGAAGGCAGGAACAAGGCAAGGGTGCCTTATTCAAAATTGCAAGGTTGTTATCACCTCTTCTCTTTAACAACTTATACTGAGACTCTAGCAAGTGCTATACAGAAGGAAAAGAAAAAAGTTAAGATTGGAAAGGAAAAACGGTTATTCACAAATACCATTATTACACAGAAAAAATAATACAGATAATAAGAGTTGCTGGAAATAAGATGAGTATTTAAGTGCCAGTTGCAAAACAAATATAATTTTTAAAAGATGCCATACACAAAATTATTGGAAAATGTGGGGAGGGTCCAGTGCATGTCTTTGTGGAGACCATTATAAAATTCTATTGAAATACATTAAAAGAAGACTACTCATTTTGGTACACCGTGTCTGTTTATTGGAAGCATCAAATTTTTAACATTTTATTTATTTATTTTAATATATATTTTTTATTTTAAAGTTGTGGAGTATAGTTACGGGTCAGGTATACAAATATTCATTGTGCAGGTACCCTTGTTGATGAGGTATGCCCCCCTTTCCCCAGACAGATACTGACTACCATTAATCCCACCTCCCTTCTCCCTGTCCACCCCCCATAGTTTCCCACCACCATCAATCTTTTTCTTATAGTATTATGGTAGTTGTTCAAGATCCACTTAAGAGTGAGAACAGGAAACATCAAATATTGTAAAGGTGTCATTCTTCCCCAAATTGATGTTACAGATCAAACAATTTTACATCATTTTCCTTCAGTTTTTCAGGGGAACTTGACAGGTTGATTATAAAAATATCAATAAGCAAAGGTCTAAGTATAAGGGGAGACCCCCAAAACCCAGAATTTACTTTTTAAAAATTGTGTATTCTTCCATGTTTACACTTCAGTTTAAACTCCAAAGTACTCTCAGTTAAATGCAGTACAACTATCGAGATGCTTTTTCTACTGCTCAAAACAGTTTTTGAACTTGTCTAATTTGATGCCTTTTAGTGCTTTTTAGTGCTTCTGCCATTTTTTGTTTCACCTCTTCCACATCAGCAAAATGTTTCCCTTTAAGGACTTTTTTCATATGGGGAAACAAAAAATAGTTGCTTGGAGTGAGATCAGGTGAATAGGGAGGGTGGGGCATGGGGGTCATGCTGTTTTTGGTCAAAAACTGCTGAACATTCAGTGTGTTTTGAGCAGGTGCACTTGTAAAACACCCATCATGAAATGAACAAACGTGTTGAATCTCAAAAAAAAAATTCACTGAAGCCAAACGCAGCCTTTCACAATAGCGTGAGCTGCCAATGGGTTCCTAGAACACTTAACTGGAAGGGGAAACCTGTACTACAAGGTACCTCCATCAAAAGATATTTCTGGGTTTTTACTGGGCCCCCTGTATGAGCAACATACTTCTGAAGAAGAAGGAAATGGGAGACTTGCTCTGCCATTTGTCAAGACTTTGTTTTTTTAATTTAAATTACACAGATAAACGAAGTACAGTGTTGATGCAGGAGTCAAAAAAACAGTGACATAGAATAGAGAATCCAGAAACAGACCATGCATGTATGGAAGCATGATGAAAAGTGACAATATAAATTACTGGGTAAAATATAGATTATTTGACAAATGTGCTAGAAACTTTGTCATCCATACATCCAGAAAAAAATGAAATTAGGTCTCTACCTTATACTTTATATAAAAGTAAAATGTTGGCTATTTAAAAACATATTTGTAGGCTGGGCTTGGTGGCTCAACCTGTAATCCCAGCACTTTGGGAGGCCGAAGTGAGTGGATTGCCTGAGTCCGGGCAACTTGATGAGACCTTGTCTCTACAATAAAAAAAAAAAAAAATTATCTAGGTGCAGTAGTGCGCACCTGTAGTTCCAGCTACTTGGAAGGTTGAGGCTGAAGGTTCACCTGAGCCCAGCAGGTCGACGCTGGGGTGGCCGTGAGCGTGCTACTGCACTCCAGCCTGGACGATGGAGTGAGACTCCAACTCAAAAAAATAAAATAGTAAAAATGTATTTGTAAAAGGCAAAACTTTTTAAAAATTGGAAGAATAAAAGTAACTGTCTTTATGCTTTGGGGTGTGGGGTTTTTAAGACATAGAAAAGTGATAAATTTTACTGTTAAAAATAACTAAAATTTTATGAAACATCACCAGAATAAAAGTAAGTAGACAAGTTACAAGAAGATAATCTGCAATAATATAAGTGAAATACAGTTATGTAGAATATATAAAGATGTACTAACTAATAGGGAAAAGACAGCTGGGTAGAAAAAGGAGCAAAAACAGAGGCATTTCACAGAGAAGGAAATATAAATGATAGGTTCATTAAAATGTGAAAAAAGTAGTTGAACTACTAATTGAGGAAATGTAAGCCAAAAACCACAGTGAGATTTCATTTTAAGCATCTATACCTCTGCCACCGGCAAATTTCCACACATTTAATAGAACAAAGTAGAAGGGAGGATGCTGTAGTTCATTGGAAACATATACTGGAGGGGACATTGTATTTGGCTCCTTCATTTGGAAAAACAATTTGGCACTAACTTGTTGAAATTTCACCTATTTTTTCCACCTTTAAGGTATATGCTGTAGGAAACTCATCCCTGTGGTCCAAGAAACATATTCAACGGTGTTCATAGTAACAATGTATGTAGTAGTATAAAAGGAACCAACTAAAAAAAATGAAACAACTCAAAGTTTCATCAAGAGAATGAACAAATAAGAGGTCATACGATGGAATATCAAACAGCTGTGTAAATTATAGCTAGCACAGGAAAAAACACTTCTGGAAGCATCCAGTAAGTTAACATCAGGTTGCAGAGGATCTTTGTATAGAGTTTTGTTTGTTTTTCTGTTTTTTGAGTTAGGGGTCTTACTCTGTCACCTAGGCTGGAGTGCAATGGCACAATCATGTTAAAATCAAGTAGAAGTAATATGTTTATGGATAGGCACATATGTGATGAAACTTCAAGATAAGTGATCATGGAAGCATAGGGGAAGATAGAGGGGGTAGGATAGGTAGGGAAGACACACAGGCAGGTGCCATGGTATTGGTGATGTTTTACTTTTTAAGTTGGGTTATGGGGCATGACTGTTTATTTTGTTTGTTTTATAGCCTAGATATACGTTTCATGTATTGTTTTATATATTCATTGGTATATTAAACAAATACAGGTTTTCATAAAAATATCCCACTTACAGGTGTTTAGTGCAATGACACTATTAATGATGGTGGTAATAGCTGCCATTCAAAGACCACTCCTGAGTTTTACATTTTTATAGGCATTTTTAAATTTAATCCCTATGTTGACTCTATGAAGTCATTATGTCCATTTTACAGATGAGCAAAATAAATGTTTAGGGAGATTAACTTGTCTAAGGTCACATAATGAATGAGCAGTGGCAGTCAGGTTCAAATCCTGCAGGGACTGTAGAACCCAGGCTTTAAACCATTCATATCAAC